CCGTATACCACCATCTACGCTTTTATTTCCTTCCTTTACACGGACTCTCTTGATCTAAACCTTTCCGTCGAAACTGTTGCCGATCTGATGGTCTTGGGTAACATGTACCTCATTTCGCGACTGACGTCACTCTGCTGTGCACGATTGCAGTCAAAATTCGATATAGAGAACGTGGCTAAAATATATCATTGCGCTTCAGTGTCTGGTGCACACGCCTTAAAGAAGAGGGCAATGAGATTCATCAATAATAATTTCGGCCCAGTTTCAAAGACATCAGGATTCAGATCATTACCTCAGGAGATCTTATTTGACTTCTTAGACAACCTTCCAGAAAAAGCGAAAATTAGAGTTGATTAGGATTTAGAAAAACGTGGTAAGTAGCGAGTGGATGCACTTACGCGCGAAATCTATTGAAAATTCTTGATGTTCATACGGGATTATTTATTGTGCAAGTGCAAGAAAATTTTATTGGTAATTTGATTCAATATCAGTGCAAGAATAGTTTCCTTTTTATTTTTTTGGAAAATGGGTTCGTAGAAACATCGAGATATAATATGAACTGGTATCGGATTTATTCAACGACCAGTATATTCAATCAATCGGATTCATGTCGAATTGTACTAGATTTTTAAGCATTTGATTTCATTTGTTGGATGTTTTACAAGAAAAAAAAAAAACAATCAATAAAATTAAATAGAATTATTGGTTTGACTATAGAATATTTTTTCCCCTTGTGAATGTACTTCTTGTTGATTTCGCATGAAGTTTCCGATATAAGTCGCGTACGTTCGTGTTATAAAGTTTGGATCACGTGACAAACTTTAAAAACTTTTAACAATGAATTAGCGGACGAATGAACGCTATCCTAAGACCAAAAAAGGTCTTACGCTTAATACGTGGTTACTGCATTATTTGTTATGCATCAAATAGAAAACGTGGATTCTTAACTGGTCAATCTTTTTTTTTGACTTCCTTCCGCTTAACAACAAGCGAAAGGAAAATTTTTAAAGGTTACCATTTGCCTCTTTTCTTATCTTTGTTGAAATGAGTTGTTATTTTCTTTTTCCGAAGGCTTGACATGATCAAAAGCTTGCATTTAACAGAAAAATTTTTGAAGAAAGTCCTAGAAAAAGAAGGCCCTTCGAGTACCTATTGCGTGAAAAAATACGGGATTCTAAGACATTTAAGACAAATACACCCTTGTAGAAAAGTATTCCTTCATTTTTTTCACGTAGAAAGCAATAGCATGAAGACGCGACATCAAAATCCTTACCTCGGTCAGAGTGGTCGAGCTCTGCAAGATCGCGCTCAAGTTCAACCTCCTCTAGCTTTTGATACCACCAATCTAACATGCCAACGTCCTTTACATTATCAGCAGGGTCCTCTTCCCACCACAAATCACATCCCAAGTAATTTTAACGCCACTACGCAATTCGAATCAAGTCGCGGGAGGCTTCATAAAACCTTCCGACGAACTCTTCAATCTCAGTATAAGCAATATGGTGGCTTTCGTACGGGTGTTGGAACTAAGTTCGGCAATCAGGGCCATAAGCGATTTACACAGACTATGTCGTCTTCATCTTCTTTCCGCAAATCTAGCCGGCCGATCGAACCGATAATTAATAATAATACAAGATCCAGTGGGCGGACGGCAAAAAAACGACCGTTATCACCCGCGCTGTCGTCGCGTGCCTCCCATCTCCGTGGAAATCCTGCAAGCAGGAAAGCTCCGAAATTGCCCAAAAAAGAAGTTTCAAGCAGAATTTCCAAATTAAAATATCAAAAGTCGAAAAAATCTGAAAAAAACGCGTCCGTATCTCAGATTAAGAAACAAAATAATAGTGCTAGGCATGAGAGATCTGCATTCCAACCTTTACCAGACCTGATCTATGACATGAACTATATAGTCTCAACTTATAAAACCAACGAAGTTGGCTCGAAGAAAGGAAATCAATCGTGGATCAAGAGTCCTAGGAAGTTTCTTATCAACATCCTTCAACATCCCGTCGAATGGAAACTATATGGTCCCGCCGAAAGTCCATTGCATCGGGCAACCGTCCAGTTGGAAATTTCCGGTACTAGGATACTAGGGCATGGTGATGCAAAGAACAAGAAAGAAGCGGAAAGAATAGCTTTTTTGAACGCCTGTTACATGATTGAGGTTCAAGGTTTAATGGAAGATGTAAGAACCCTATGCAAGAGGGAAAACAGTGATTGCAAGAAATTCGTTTTTGAATATTGCTCAAAATTCAATTACCTCCCTAACTTTAACGTCACAAATGTGGGGCCTGACCATGATTTATTGTGGGAAGCTATTGTGGAATTTCCTTCGCAAAATTTGGTCGGTCGTGGTCGCGGAAAGACAAAGAAAGAGGCAGAACTGAAGGCATCAGAAATTTTCAAAAGAAATGCGGAAGAATACCAAGCTCATCGTGGAGATTATAAAGCAGAAAGTAGCATTATCTCAGAGGATCAGGCTAGAAAATTTATACAATTCTACTGCAAGTTCTTTAAATTTAAAAACCCCGTACTAAGAATTAAGAATCTAGGCTCTCTCGAGAGTCCTCAGTGGTCCGCTTCTCTGATTGTTGAAAATACAATAATAGGAAATGGGGAAAGATCTAATAAACGAGAGGCGCAAAATATTGCGTACTTGGATGCTGCCATTTCCCTACGCAAAGATTCTCCAAGACTTTGGGACAAATTCGAATCTAATAAGAACAAGGTGAAATTATCGGAAAAACCAACACCAATTGTAAACGTTGAAATGAACGATCCAACCTTTAATAGTCTTTGCAAATTGATCACTGATATTCGTGGTGCCAATATGTTTAACCGAGACGGTGGCGCGGAATCTAAAATTAAATTATCAAAACGAACTTTGGAAGAAAAACCAAACTTCAAAGCAAACGCAGGAAAAAAGAAATTCACTGATAGCTACCTCGAAGAGAAATCCCAGAAGTTATATAATAGTTTTCAGGATTATCTGAATTCTGTAAAAACTGAAAAGATCAGATTTGATCGTAGTCAACTCCCTATTACTCATTACTCTAGTATTATATTAGACGCTATCAAGAACAATCCGGTGGTGGTGATTGTTGGTTCAACCGGGTGTGGTAAAACCACTCAACTGCCTCAACTCATCTTTGAGGAATCCATCATGGAACGACTGGGTGCGCATTGCAATATTATTGTCACTCAGCCGCGTAGAATAGCCGCAATATCGGTAGCTCAACGTGTTGCATACGAACGCTCGGAAAAACTGGGCCAAACTGTCGGTTACAACGTTAGATTTGATGTGGTTAAACCGGCTCCAGCTGGAACTATTTTATATTGCACCACTGGAATCTTTCTTCGACGAATGCATGAAGTACAGACCGGACATGACGCATTTGAAGGCATCACGCATATTGTGGTGGACGAAGTTCACGAGAGGGACATGAATACTGATTTTATGTTGGTCATATTGAAGCAGATTCTCCAAGAAAGAATTCGAAACAATTTGCGGCCGATCAAACTTATTCTCATGAGCGCTACGATGGACACCGGAGTTTTCTCGGAGTATTTTGGGAATTTCTTCCCTAACGGAAGATGTCCCGTGATTGAGGTCCCGGGGAAATTATATCCCGTACAACAGTTCTTCTTGGAAGATATTGTGAAAATGTTACGAAAAACCTATACGCCTCTCGAGGTAAAGCTGTTGAACCAAAAAGATACTTGCAAATATATTGAGCGTGAAATACAATTTTTTCAAATGCCAAAAATCCTTCGCGATGTAACTCCATCTCCACAGGTCAGTGGAGAATCCACTGCAATGGAATTAGATAGTGATGAAGAGGCAAGCGTCCATGGTGATCTCGAGGATGATAATGCCTCAACAGAGTCATCATTAAATGAGATTACAGATTCCTTCGGGTCTAAACAAAATAGTGAAATGGAAGACATTGAAAAAGAAGAGGTTGAAGTTCCTTATAATTTAATAGCCTTGGTAATCGCTCATATTGTCCGTACGACCAATGAGGGAGCAATATTAGTCTTCTTGCCGGGATGGGAAGATATCACATCTCTCAATCGCCTTCTGACCTCTCATCCGCACCCTCTTGGAATTAATTTCTCTGATTCGTCGCAATTTAGAATTCACTTTCTTCATTCTTCACTTCCTTCCTTGTCGCAACAAGAAGTGTTCGAAACACTACCCTATCCAACCATGCGAAAAATTATCTTGGCCACAAACATTGCAGAAACTTCAATTACAATAAAAGATATCGTTTACGTTATTGATTCTGGAAAACTTAAAGAAAATCGCTACGATCAGTCGAGGAGAATGACAAATTTAACAACTACCTGGATAAGTCAATCAAATCTTCGTCAACGCTCGGGTAGGGCAGGTCGCGTTAGGGCAGGTGAATATTTTTCGATGATGTCGCGCAACAGATCCCAAAATCTTGAAGCATACTCGATTCCGGAGATTATGCGTTCTGACTTGCAGGAGATTTGCTTGCACATTAAGGCTCTCGGCTTTTCCTCATCAATTGCTAAAGTTCTTTCACAGGCCATCCAACCACCAGATCAAGCCCATATCAAAATTGCCCTTGAGAATCTTAAATTACTGCAGGCATTGGATCACAATGAGGAGTTGACTCCTTTGGGAAAGGTTTTGGCTATACTCCCGATGGAGCCGGGTTTAGGAAAAATGGTATTACTTGGTTCCGTGTTCCAGTGCTTGGATCCTATTTTAACAATAGCAGCGTCCATGGCTTCGAGAAGCCCATTTCATTCTCCTCCATACGCGAAACTAAAAGCTGAAGAAACCAGATATCGTTGGTCGCGTGGACTTTGTTGCGATAATTTGACTGTTTTAAACGTTTATGAGGCTTGGTACAAGGTTCAAGAATCTGGAACGGCTGATGATATAAACGCATTCTGCAGTGAAAACTTCCTCAGTCGGACGTCGATGAAAACGATTGAACAAATCAAACTTCAATTGCTTAATCTCTTACAACGTTCTGGGGTTGTACCAGATTACTACCGTGGAAAACGAAAGAATAATTACGGTGATCATACATTGGGACCTCCGGAATACAATGTGAATTCCAATTGTATTCCATTAATTCGTTCCCTGATCTATACTGGTGTCTACCCAAACCTATCTGTTAAAGTGACAAAAAACGTTCTTAGAACTCGACATGAGAAGGTTACACTTATTCACCCTTCATCGGTGAACAACAGAAAATCCGTAAAGTTTGAGGCAGCCCATCGTGAAAACCGTCCGACTAACATACACAGTAATAATAGTTTGTTCGGTTCGATAGGTACGCTTTATGCATATTCTGAAAAGAGTAAGGCTACTGGATCATCAGTATTTCTCCGCGGGACCACTTGTATAGATCCGTTGTCAGCAATTTTATTTGGAGGTGAGATCAAAATTAACAAAGATTCAAATCTTATTGTTGACGAATGGCTAAAATTTAGTGGCGATAGTTACGTAATCAATTTGACGAATGAATTGAAATTTTTCTTGGAACGATGCTTAACACAAGTATATGAAAGGTTGGAGGTATCTCGTAAAGACTTTAGATTAGCCGGACAATTAGATCATGAAGATGAGAAAGTAAAAGTAAGACTTGTCCGAGGGATCGTTGAGGTTTTGGAGAATATAGAACGTGATTCGCAAGAACGTTAAAAATCTGTACATATTTTCAATCATATATGTGGGTTCGGACTTTATATCTTTTCTACGAATTTTCATTCCAAGTGTATGCGACCTTATAGATGACAATCTCATAAAAATTTCACACTTTTATTTTCCGTTTTCCTTGCCGTATTCCTTTCTGTTCTAAAAGATTTGATTATAATTTCATTAATTTGACTTCATCTCCTTTTTTCTATTACAATTTATCTAATCAAATTTTTTTATAATTTTTTACTAATAACAAAAGGGTTTTGATAGTGGGATTTTTAAGGCTAGAAACCAAATGTCAACAATGTCAATAATGCTTTATTAGAATTTAAGTTTACTCAATTAAAAAGAATCTAGATTTATTAACATTTTTTTTTTTTAATTTACTTATAACAAATTACAGCTTTTAATGTACAGACGGGTGACACTGTATTAGGACGATTTTTATAACACAAAAAATTACTACGCAATATATTTTATTTTTAATACCTAAAAAAATAAACTACCAACGTGTTGCATAACCCTTTTTTTTAATTACTTCTTTCACACGTTTAGGCATAGTATCTATAAATTTTCTAATCTTATCGAATGCAAT